TTATAACCGACACGAATAGTAGGGAAACTTTTTAATATAACAACTAGCTAACATCAGCTAGCGGTTATTTTTAAATATTTTTTTTGCACTGTTTTATTTATTTACAAAATTTTTCCTATAACTTCTATTTTTAAATTCTATTTTTTTTTCTATAACTTCCTATAAATTCTATTTTACAAAATTTGTTTCATATTTTTTTTTAAATTCCATTTTTGCCTATAACTTCTATTTTACAAAATTTGTTTCATATATTTTTTTTAAATTCCATTTTTGCCTATAACTTCTATTTCACAAAATTTGTTTCATATTTTTTTTTTAAATTCTATTTTTTTTCCTATAACTTCTATTTTACAAAATTTGTTTCATATTTTTTTTAAATTCCATTTTTCCCTATAACTTCTATTTCACAAAATTTGTTTCATATTTTTGTCCTATAACTTCTATTTTACAAAATTTGTTTCGTATTTTTTTTAAATTCTATTTTTTTTCCTATAACTTCTATTTTACAAAATTTGTTTCATATTTTTTTTTTAAATTCTATTTTTTTTCTATAACTTTTTAAGCCATTATACAACATTAAATTAAATTAAGTAACATGAAACAACATTAAATAATATGAAACAACAATAAATAACATTAACCAACATAAAAATTATACAATATAAAAAAACATTTAACAACATGAAACTTAAACAACATTTTTAAAAATATTTAACAACATAAAACTTAAACGCCTACTCCATGCTTCTTTTGGCCCAAAGATGTGCAACAAGATCATGTTGTAGGTACTTGTTTGTGGCACGAGAACGTATCATTCTATAGCGCCTCATATACTCATTTATATAGATACTACCAAGGTATTAAATATCGATGATATCGGAAATATCGGTAATCCAAAAACACGGAAATATCGATGGAAATATCAGGATATTATCGATATCGATAAAAATAATATGGAAACCATGGAAATTGTAAGAAAAACTTGGAAATTTTTATTGAAACTTTGCAAGATGTTTATTTAGTCAATTATCTATTAGTTTATCACAAAAAATTGGAAGGAAATGCATTGCATGATGGATTTAACTTATTTAAGTTGATTATATAGCGAACTGGCAAACATTGTGAGTGTAGAAAATATGTAGTAATTAATAAAAGAAGTTTAAACACACTATAATCATTTATATATAATGAATTAGTATAATATTTTACATTTTATACATTGCATGGTAAGATGCATGAGTGACTTATTACCCTTTTTTTTATTTATTTAAGAATAATATGGTTGTGGGGATTTTATTTAAAATTTATATTGAAGATGCTCTTAAATTATGTAAAATTGTAATCGAAAACAATAATTTATAATTTATATAAGATATATATATATATATATATATATATTCCACTTTATAAACCGTCCACCTCACCTTGCTATTTCCCATCACCCATCCACCTTGGGTGGTTTTCATGATTAAAACCATCTCAAAGTCCATGGTTTTCAATTTTTAAACTATCCAAAAACGTCAACATCTGCTATCTCACATTACCCAATTTTTTGAGCCCTCAACTTGCACAACCACCGCATATTATTCACACTCTCTCATCTCTACTCTCACTCACACTCTCTCTCTCTTCGCACTCTTTCATCTCCGCATCTGCCTTCGCACTCTTTCATCTCCGCCTCTGCCTTTGCACTCTCTCATCTCTGCTCTCACTCACTCTCTCTCTCTCTTTGCACTCTTTCATCTCCACCTCTGCCTTCGCACTCTCTCATCTCTGCTCTCACTCATTCACTCTCTCTCTCTTCGCACTCTTTCATCTCCGCCTCCGCCTTCCTCACCGATCCCACCGACAATAACCCCACCTCTGTCGTTGACTCTAGCGACGACCACCACGACCCCCAATCATCCCCAAACCCCAACCTCAACCTCCACAACAACCACCCATTCTCCTCCTCCCCCCCCCGGAGCCCGCCCCGCCGGCGCCGCGCTCGCCTCCGTCTCTGTTCCACGTCTGCTTCAACCAAGACCACGCCTGCTTCGCCGTGGGGACAGACCACGGGTTCCGGATCTACAACTGCCATCCGTTCCACGAGCTCTTTCGCCGCGACTTCGACAACGGCGGGGGAATCGACGTCGTTGAGGCGCAGATCTTAGGTCTAAGTCTGCAATAGATCTGGGTAGTGCGACGACGCAGCCTCGGCTGCCTTTCTGACGAGATTGTTTCGATAATATCGCGATATTATCGATAATATCGAGATATTTTGACGAAAACTAATTGGATACCTATTAAAATATCGTTACCGCAAAAAACCGATAATATCGGCGATATTTCGTCGATATTATTAGCATTTTCTTCCATGGATACTACTAGTTCTTGAATTGAAAGGCAAATTAGGCCCATCATATATTTTTGCACGAGCCATTCTTAACCTATTTGGATCTTTTTAGTCGTCATTGGACTCTCCATCAATATACCCATCTCGCTCATCCTCCACTATCATATTGTGTAATATGATGCAAGACATCATGATGGAGTCCAAATTTTCTCTACTCCACCCTATTGCCGGTTCGCGGATGATCTTCCACCGTGCTTATAGATTATCGAAAGCTCTCTCAACGTCTTTCCGGTATGCCTTTTGGTGTAAGGTAAACAATTTTTCCGCATCATTCCTAGGGTTTGGAATTGCATGGACAAGTGTCGCCCACTTTGGGTAGATGCCATTTGCCAAGTAATACCCCATATTGTATTGACGGTCGTTGATGTAGTAGTCAAGTTGAGGTGCTTTACCTTCCGTCAAGCAATTGAAGAGGGGTGAACGCCCAAGAACTGTAATGTCATTTTGGGATCCAGGGACTCCAAAGAAAGCATGCCAAATCCATGTGTCATATGAGGCAACCGCCTCTAACACAACAGTTGGCTTTCTCGACCTTCTGCTAAAGCCTCCTTACCATCCAGTGGGACAATTCTTCCAATCCCAATGCATGCAGTTTAATGACCCTATCATGCCTGGAAACCCACGGTCTTTAGCTTTGCGAAGAAGCCGATTCAGATCTTCTTGATTTAGCTCGCAAAGGTACTCGTCTTTGTAAACCTGAATAATTGTGTCACAAAATTGTTCAAGAGTATTAAGGCATGTAGACTCAGACATATCATGGGTTTCATATATCGAATCAACTAGAAAGCCATAGGCCATCATTCGGAGTGCAATATAACCTTCTGATGAGGTGAGAAACTAGGATGGTTTGTTGTATCCCGCTTCTGTCGAAAGTATAGATTGACCTGCTGGACATCACGAAGTAAACACTTGAAGACATGATGCCTCATCCGGAAGCAACATCTGAAATCCTCTTCTGTGTACATCGAGTTGGGGTTGAAGTAGTTGTTCATCAGATTGACATGCGTCATCGCTTTGTTTTGTGGTTTGTAAGAGCAACCAGCAACAAAGCCACCCTATTGAGGTTGTTCCTCAGTTGGTTGACACACCATGGCCTCAGCCATGGCTACTGCTCTGTTTTGTTTGTGCGTCTTACTTGAACTTTTTCATCAGACACCTCATTTTCTCGTCTCATTTGTGCCCATTTTCTTCCAATTTGGAATTGGATGAGGACCCCCAGTTGGAATTCGAAGAGGATCCAAAGTTGGAATTCATTGCAAACTTGAGTTGAAAGAGATTGAATTGAAATAGATTGAATTCAAAGTTGTGTGAATTATAGCCCAATATCCACCCTATTTATAGCAAAAAAAAATTCAAATCCAACGGCTAGCTGATGTCATGCTAATGTCACTTATCCGTTGGATTTGAATTTAAGTTGTAGTTTTTAAATAATAAATTATGTTTGGCCCTATGGCCTTTTGACCATCAGTTAGAGATAGTTTTTTGTGACAGGGCTAAATGAGCCTTATGGCCCTTTGGCCCCCGGTTAGAGATGGAGGTAAATATAGCCATGTATTGTTCATTAAAATATTAATATCCTAGAGAGCTAGATGGCTAAAACGAGCCATCTGGCCAGCCTTCGGTTGGAGATGGCCTCATGAAGACTTAAGAATAGTAGCATTGTTGTTTTTGTATGATGTTTTTCAAAATGCACTCATTTCACTTTTATGATTCTTCACGGATATGGCTTTATATAAGGAGCATTTCATGTATGATCACAACACATAACATAACAGAAAATAAGTGAAAGCAATAATATGAATATCGTTTCCTTCCTTTCTTTACCAACAATCTTTTTTTGTTATAGTTACGAAAATAAACAATGTGATACATTTCACCCGCTTCGCTCTTGTCTGTAGCAAATGTTATCTCTCTAACTTTTGCCTATTTATAACACGTTATCAACACGACTTTCTAACCCTAACCATTTCTCATTTCTCTTCACCGAAAAATGCTTCCTCCAAGGATTTTACTATTCTTCTTCCTCCTCTGCCTCACTTGCTTGATGTACCTTGGCCAAGAATTGCTAGCACTGAGCATTCTCCTAGTTCTCAATATAACAATTACTTATATTTTTTATTTCTTGTGGTGTAGCTACTGATTAGTAACTCAGTGTTTATTTATGTTGATTTTACTGCGATTTTAGATGGTGCAGTACAATAACCCATCTTGAACTGCAGATTTAATTTTTCTGCAATTTTAGGTGATGCTGTATAATCGCCCACCCTACACTGCATATTTAAATTTTCCTATTGCTTGAGTGGTGCGGCATAATCGCTCATCCTACGCTATATTGTTTCAATGAGAGTGGTGTGGTACAATCGCCTTCCTCATTAATTATGTAAATCTCAAGCCTAAAGTTTCGAGTGCTTATCATTTTGACCTGAATATCAAAATGGAAAATTTGTAAGAACTAGAAGTTTTAACATTATGTTCCTCCAGAATACATATTATTACAAGTTCTTACACATTTTATTTTTCTATTAGAAAAAAGAAAATGGCAAACTTGGCAAAGCTTGATTTTGTTGCCCTTGATATTACTGGGAAAAACTACCTAATTTGGGTAATGGATGCCAAGATCCACCTAGAGGTAGGAAACCTTGGAGACACCATCAAGGAGGTAAACAATGCATCCTCTCAAGATCGAGCGAAGGCCATGATCTTTATCCATCGCCACCTTGATGAAGGATTGAAGAGCGATTACCTAACAGTTGAAGATTTATTAGCCCTCTGGAAAGCATTGAGAAATATATACAATCACCAGAAAATGGTGATTCTCATAAGAGCTCGTTATGAGTGGATGAGTGGACACACTTGAGAATCCAGGATTTCAAGAAGGTTGCTGAGTATAACTCTGCAATGTTCAGAATCAGCTCCCATATGAAACTTTGTGGGGAGAATATCACTGAGGAAGATATGCTGGAAAAGACTTTCAACACCTTTCATGCCTCCAACGTGCTCTTGCAGCAGCAGTATAGAGAGCAAGGCTTTACTGAGTACAACCAACTGATATCGGTGCTCCTTATGGATGAACAAAACAATGAGCTCCTGATGAAAAATAATCAATCCCAACCTACTGGATCAGCATCATTCCCATAAGTGAATGTTGTTTCCCTCGAAGTGAACACCGTATCCTCTCGTGGTAATAATTACAAATGAGGACGTGGCCACAAGCGAGGTCGGTGGAATGAGAAAGGCAAGAATCATGGTGTCCAGTTTTACAACTAAGGTCTAAGGTATAATCTAGGCCCGACCTTCAAAAATGTAAATCGTCACAAGGAGAAAGCTCATATGAATAACACTCCTAGAAATCCTGAAGGCGCCTGCCATAGGTATGGTGGCAATAAGCAATAGGCGCATTCCTCGTACCCCAAAACATCTAGTGGACCTTTAACAAGCCTCCTTCAAGGAGAAGAGTGTCGAAACCAATTTCATCGACCGGGCTAAACCAATAGATATACCTGATCTAGTGTTTGATTTATCAGGGCAATTGAACACAACACACCTGGATGTTTCAAACTTCATTATTGAAAGAGGGAATGAAGTATATTGATCCTATTGAATCATTTTTATGTTTAATGTGCTCTTATTATATGAACTTGTAGTTTAAAGCTCACATTTTAATTCAATAAAAGTGGCATTTCAATTCAATAAAAGTGGCATTTCAATTTCCCTTGTTATGAACATATTGTTTTTAAGTATAATTCCCTTACTCAGAGTGCATGGATAAAAACTATAGTTATTCTCAAAACAAAAGCAATGGTGGAGATATTTGTCTTGCAGACAGCGCAACCATGCATACAATACTTCAAGATCGAAAATATTTCTCAAGCTTGATACTTACAAAAGTAAATGTAACAACAATATCAGGCCAATCATATGTAATTGAAGGCTCAGGAAAAGCCCAGATCATGTTACCAAATGGAACAATAGTGTTCGTACAAAATGTGTTGTACGCTACTCGATCTACTCAAAATTATTTGAGTTTTAAAGACATATGTTTAAATGGATACCATATCGAAACGAAAAGTGCAGAAAATGTGGAAAATTTATGCATTACCTCCAATGATATCCAAAAGAGAACATTGGAGAAGTTGTGTGGTTTATCGAGTGGATTGTATTATACATACACAAAGACAATTGAAGCACATATTGTCATGAACCAAAAGTTCATTGATCCAAAAATTTACATGCTTTGGCACGACCGTCTGGATCACGCAGGATCCATCATGATGTGTATAATCATTACCAACTCTAATGGACATCCATTATTGAGCATACACATTGCTATATCAAATGATAAACCCTTGCAAGACTTGTTCTCAAGGGAAGTTGGTAATTATTAGAGCATCACAATTAAAGATTGATGTTGAATCCCCATCAATTTTGCAAAGAATTCAAGGGGATATTTGTTGGCCTATTCAACCACCTTGTGGACCATTTTGATATTTTACGGTTTTGGTTGAAGCATCTACCCGATGGTCACATGTTTGCCTCTTGTTTACTCGAAATGTAGCTTTTGTGAGACTTCTTACGAGCATAGTTCCTAGATTTACCATATTAGGTCAACTCGACTTGATAACGCTGGTGAATTTACGTCTCAAACCTTGATGATTACTACATGACACTAGGCATTGATGTAGAACACCATGTTCCTCATTTCCATACTCAAAATGGTTTAGCAAAAGCATTTATCAAAGGGCTTCAATTAATAGCTTGCACCCTGCTCATGAAAACAAAATTGCCAGTTTTTTGCATGGGAACATGCCATCTCACATGATGCATCATTGGTTCGATTAAGACCTATAGCCAACCATCAATACTCCTCCGTTTAACTCGTGTTTGGACATTAACCAAATATTTCACATTTACGAGTTTTTGGTTGTGCTGTTTATGTGCATATTGCATCACCACAACGCACTAAAATAGGACCTCAACACACACTGGGAATTTCTGTGGGTTTTGACTCACCATCTATCATTAGATATTTTGAACCTTTGACAGGTTATATCTCGTTTTGCAGATTCACTTCGATGAGACAGTTTTCCCACCGTTAGGGGGAGAAAAAACCGTTCCAAAAGAACGGAAAGAACTGACATGGGTTGTACCCACCTTATCTCATTTTACTCTACAAATCACTTAATGTGAAAATGAAGTGAAAATGATCGTTCATCTTTAAAGTATTGCTAATCAAATGCAGATTCATTTAATAATGCTACGAAAATGATAAAATCACATATACCAGCTACAAATGCGATTGCAAGAATTGATGTCCCTGTTGGACAAAATAAAGTGGCAACGAATTATTCATTCGTTGAATGCCTGAAGCGTGGTAGACCCCTATGTTTAAAAAATTCAGCCCCTCGAAAGAAGAAAATGAGGGCATAACTAAATCAAATGAAATCATTCTGGAAAAGTTAATAAATGACGAATCCACAATTCACATTTCTATACTTAAAAAAAAATGTCCTTAATAAGACACATGTCCCTGAAGAGACATAAGTACATGAAAGCAAAGAAATCTCCATAAATTATGCATGTAATAATGAATTGTGGGATCAAAATGAAATAATCATGGACGACATGTTCGCATTCGCAGTAGCCACTGAAATAATATTACACGATGATATTGAGCTCCGCTTTGTTGATGAATGCAAACATATTCAAGATTGGCCTAAGTGAAAAGATGCAATCTAGACAAAATTAAATTTCTTGGAAAGATGAAGTGTTTTTGAACTTGAAGTCCAGACCTCTCCTGGAGTAAACCCTATGGGTTACAAATGGGTATTCACAAGAAAGCACAATAAGAAAAATGAGATTGCAAGATATAAAGTACAACTCGTTGCACAAGGTTTTTCACAACGACCTGGAATTGATTATAAGGAGACATACTCTCTTATACTTGACACAATTACGTTTCGTTACTTAATAAGTTTGGTGGTTCAAAAAAACTTGACATGTGACTTATGGATGTCATCACCGCATATCTATATGGAGAATGAGATACTAACATATATATGAAGGTCCTAGAATGACTTAAGTAACCTAAAACAACTAACAAACCACGATGCATGCTCTCAATTAAATTAAGGTGATCATCATATGGGCTGAAACAATCTGAAAGAATGTGGTATAATCGTCTCAGTGAGTATTTGATCAAAGAAGGATATACCAACAATGTAATTTGCCCTTATGTGTTCATTAAGAAATCAAATTATAGATTTGCTATAGTTTCAGTATATGTCGATGATATGAATTCAGTTGGAACGCCTGAAGAACTCAATAAAAGTGCTGAATATCTAGAAAGAAAATTTGAAATGAAAGACCTTGGGAAAACAAAATATTGTCTTGGCCTGTAAATCGAGCATTGTGCTCATGGAATTTTGGTCCATTAATCAGCTTATATTGAAAAAAATCCTAAAGCAATTTGGAATGGACAAAAGCACGCCAATGGTCGTTCGTTCTCTGGACATTAAGAAAGATCCATTTCATCCAAAAGAAGATGATGAAATGGTCCTTGGTCTAAAAGTACCATATCTGAGTGCCATAGGTACTTTATTGTATTTAGCACAATGTATTAGACCAGATATAACTTTTTCGGTCAACTTGTTAGCAAGGTATATCTTTACTAGCTCCAAGAATTCATCATTGGAAGGGAGTCAAAGATGTTTTACGATACCTTTGTGGGACAACAGACACGGGTATCTTCTACTCCGAGAATCCACAAATGACTAGAGCCTTGTTGGATATGCAAATGTTGGTTTTCACTCCGATCCACATAAAGCCCGCTCACAAACTGGATATGTGTTCACTAATGGAGATACATCGATCTTATGGCGCTCAACAAAGCAAACATTAGTTGCTACATCTTCCAATCACTCAGAAATACTTGCTTTACATGAAGCAAGTTGTGAATGTTCTTGGTTAAGATCAATGATCCATCACATCTGGAATTCATGTGGTATACCTTCAAAGACAAACACTCCAACTGTTATTCATGAAGATAATGCAGCGTGTGTTGCCCAAATGAATGAAGGATTCATCAAGAGGGATAAGACTAAACACATATCTCAATTTCAATGCACATGAGCTTCAAAAGACTAAAGTTATTGAAGTCAAACAAATTCGTTCCAATGAAAATTTGGTAGACCTATTCATCAAATCTACCAAAGTGCATGTTTCAGAAGCTAGTACATGGTATTAGATTACGTCGACTCACCAACCAGTTAAATTTGAAGAATGCAGAATCAGAGGGAGATACATATCAGGGATAGCATCCATGATACATGCCTGTTTTACTCTTTTTCCTTTAACTAGGATTTTTCCCACTGGATTTTTCCTATCAAGGTTTTAACAAGGCAACATAAACATATTTAACACTATATCAATAATCCAAGCAAAGTTGTACTCTTTTTCCTTTGCTACGGTTTTTTCCCATTGGGTTTTTTCGGGCAAGGTTTAACGAGGCAATTGATGTTGATATGTGGGCATATAAGGGGGGAGTGTTGTAAAAGTTGTGAGAATGAATGGCCACATGTTTTAGCCAAAGATGAAAAGTGAGGAAGACTTAAGAATAGTAGCATTGTTGTTGATGTATGATGCTTTTCAAAATGCACTTATTTCACTTTTATGATTCTTCACGGATATGGCTTTATATAAGGAGTATTCCGTGTATGATCACAACACACAACATAACATAAAAGAAGTGAAAGCAATAATATTAATATCCTTTCCTTCCCTTCTTTACCTGCAATCCTTTAGTGTTATAGTTGCAAAAATAAACAGTGTGATACATTACACCCGCTTCACTCCTGTCTCTAGCAAATGTTATCTCTCTAACTTTTGTCTATTTCTAACATGGAGTCCTTTGTAGTCATAAATCACTTTCAATATTCACATAACCATAAACTCCTTTGATGTTTAGGGTTAGCTTGGCTTTGATTAACTCAATAAATTCAAGGGAGTTTTAACGAAACACTCCTGGTAACGTTCACTTTAACAAAAAAATGACATTTTTACTCTAAAAAATCACTCATGGTACTATTCACTTACAACACCTTTTTGTCCTTTTGATTAAAACTTAAAGTTTTCAAGCTTTT